CCTTATCCTACAGTGTTATGTTTTCTGAGCTCGAAAGGAGAGAACTTAGAAATGAAGGAAATACTTTGATTAGGAGTTTTGCAAGGCTAGAAGTATAAATACATGGTCATTTTGGTATGCCTAAGGGTTTGCAGCTTTATGTTATTTACCAGGAAAAATGATCCCAGGAGGGTCAAATGGTCCCAAGAGTGGCTAGGCAGAGCACCAGTAATGGCAGCAGATGCTCAGGCACAATGAATGCCCAAAGAGGTACCCAGGATATGGACATATTCCTGAACACGAGAAATACCTAGGGATTCCAGAAATAATTTGGGGGGCGGGGAGGGGAGATGAGGGAGTATGAGCTGGGGAGGTATGAGAATGAATGAAGGTGTGATTGGTCTGTTTCACAGAAATAGGTTGTGCCTATAATATGTACGTGGTCCGATGCCAGGCTTGATTTCAGTTACCAATGAATTCAGTTTGTCATCAGGACAAATGTGCAAAAGCAGACAAAGACAGAAACTCTGGGAACATTTTAATGTTTTGATTTTTAAAACTGATTTTTAAAATTAGAGTTTGAAAAAGTTCAATAAACTTTTTTCGGTGAGTTTGATGCAATTCCCTTTACCTTCCTATTTTAGAAGAAAACTGAAGCCCACAGACGTTAAGTGATTTTTCTAAAATTGAACTGGTGGCTAAAAGCACAGCAGGGAGAGGTCAAATCTCCAAACACTCAGAATCATTCTTTCCCTCTATATCACAATACCTCATTTATAATTCATTAAATGGATACCTCTATTCTGTTTTTCATTCATGACTATGTGGAAAAATGTGTAGTGAAAAAAGCATGGCTTCAGATTCAGACAAACCTGAGGTTTGAATTTCCTGACAAATTATACTACTCTGCTTAGCATTAAGGCTAGATGTTCTGGAAGAAATTGTAATAAATGTATACTCTCAACCAAAGATTGGGCATCTGAGTTTGTACCTCCTGAGGCTTAATGCTCCTGTCCAAGAATTTTGTAACGGATTATATAAATACTACTCAGCACAGCTCACTGAAAAAAGGAAAGATAATAGAATATCTGTGTTAATACTAACTGATGACTTGTTAGAAAATACCCATGACAAATAAAATTATGGGCTTACTTCATCCTATAAAGGTAACAACTCATCTGGTAAATTAAGGAGGTAATACAAAATCAAAGGAAATCCAGTTTAAAAGTGTAAGTATTTTTCATGAGTTCTAACAGGGCCCTTTTGTATTCATATACAACATTTTCCATATCTCCCCTAAATAATTTTGATAAACCTGTTTCTCAAAAAGTACCTTAAAAATATCATTGTCTAAACTTAAAGCATATAGATCTATTTTTTTAGTTATGGTATTTTTGAGGTTATACACAAATATTCCACTAGTTAGATGAAGGGAAAAAATATGCTAAGCTCCCTTCTTTTCAGCCTTAATATTTTCTCTGCATTTGTTTTAAAAATGCTGGATCATGAAATAAAGGAAACAGACAGTGCAAAAACCCCAAACATGTAGTTCATCTCATATTTTAAGTTTCCTAATTATGTTATCTAGTCATTTTGGTCTTGTTAAGCATTTGGAACCAAGTAACTGAAGAGTCTAAGAAGAGTAGAACTCATTCTCAGAAACTGAACTCCAGGATAAGACTAAAAGCATTTATTTCTGCAAGTTATTACACTTTCGACTTCCTGTTTTATTTAGGCAGCTCACCATGACCATTTCAGGTAACAACACATATGTTATAAAACCCAACTTCCTCTTTATAAAGTGTCAAAAAATTCAGCAGTTAGTTATGAGAATGGTTGATCTTACCAGCTTTTAGAGAAATACTTGCAAGGAAATCAGAGCCCATCATCACCAAGTTTACCTCTGGGTTCACTGCTTTCAGAAAATGTAACAAAGACGAAAAGCAGTATTAAAATATATTTGGCATCATGACATATATGCTTTTAAAACACCCAAAATGAAATGCAGTTGAGGTCTTAGTTAAAAAGAGAAAAAAATGGAAACTTTAGAGTTTCTTTAAAGAAGAATCAATACAAATTAAGGCTGAAAATGTCTTGTTTTTAAAAATTTGTTTGTAATGTACCTTGGTTGTGAAAATTTTACAACACAAAAATCTCATTTAAAGGTTACTTATTGTTTATGAATGCTAAGATACTCATATCAACCAGTCTTGTTGGACAAATACTTCCTTAATTTTTGGATTCCTTAAAAGGAATCAGAAGCCTGGAGGAAAACGGGGCAAGGTAGGTAAGTAAGCAGCTGAAAGAGAACTGAAGAAATCTTACAAGTCAAACCCCTTCCTTTGTACTTACAGATCAGTTTGATCTCTTTGAGAATAAGAATCTAATAAAATCTTAGTAATCATATGGATTTATTACGAGACAGTTACTGTATATCAGTTATTCTTAACTATCCATACTAATGAAGACAGTGTGGTTAATTTAAAAAAATGTTTACCGAACATGAAACTCATCAACATTTTATGGCAGTGGATTTATCTTAATAATTTTGATTTGCTAGCTGTCATTTTTTAAATTAAGCAACAAAAGAGGTATGCTGGGAGATAAGAAGAATCTGGTCACAGACCTGCTATTTTAAAATCAAGACTGTTAATGTTATTATTAAACACTGTCAATATCCAAAAACATCTTAATTTGCATTTCAAAATACTATATATTTTCCCAAGTTTAAATAATAAGACAGTCTAACCCAGTGTCAAAATCAACAACCCAACAGCACTAGTAAATGTAGTACTGCTGGGGCACAATAAACTTCAAAGTTTATTATTATTCAAATACTTAGTGAAATTTTATTATAATTTTTGCTAATATTTTTGCTTAAAATAAGTGAACCATCAGTTGGGCTAACAAATGTTTTGTTATATCATGATTTTCACTGTAATTTAATTTCACCTGAGTCTATTTGTCTTAAAATAAGCATTTATCACAGCTTTCTCTCCAGCATAAGTTCATATATAAGATGCCTCCCCCCCGCAGACTTACACATTTATGAGAACTTCCAAGAAACAGAAAATTTAACGCTAAAGTGTTGTTCAGCAGCTTTTGAGAGTTTTGCACATTCTTCAGCATTTCAAAATACCATGCCATATTTGAGTATAATATACCAAATTCTGTACAAAGGACTGCTAGATCGTTATCTAGCCTCCTCTATCATCCCAATCTCTTTTATTGAAAAAGAAAGCGCCCAGATACGTTTATAGAGCACTCAAAGGAGCACACTTTGTAATGTGCCACTGTGGGAAACAAAAGACATAATTTTTGTCCTTTAGCGAGTCACCTAGTGAAATCATTCTAATTTCTACAGGCCCTAAAGTCACGTAGTTAAGGAAAAGTCTGACAAATTGTTGTGTGCAGTTGTTAGAAAAAAAGTTACCCAACTAACAGAATATGCTTTTCTAGTTAAAATGCTTTTGAAAAAATAAATACACACATAATACGATGACAAATTCAATATAATCAAAGACACCCCAGTGGAGCATCAAAGGCACGATGCATTGTCCAGACTTGAATGTGTTAGTGTGAGGTTTTTGCGCTATACAAAACCCTTATGGAGTGTTTAAAAAATCTGTTGGTTATTCTTGATTTAACAAGAAATTGAAAACTATTTTTCAAAAATAATCGTTAGGAGGATGTAAGACACCAGGGATGGAGCCACCGCGAGAGCCCTATGTAC